GTATCCAATTTCTGTATTTCCTGTGGCACCCTAGCAATTCTTTCATGGCATCACCATGAGGGGTGAGTGCAGTAATCATTTAATCTTCATTTTTCAGATCATATTTCTTTTCCACCCTTTTTATTATGTTGTTATACATCTTAACACATTGCACGTGTTGTTTGTGTAATATATTTGAAAATGATTAACCTTCTATTATTTAGGTAGCTCAGAATGTTGAGAATACAAAAGAGAAGGAAAAAAACTGTTCTATCAAAGTTAATTACAATTTAGGGTGTCAGGATTACAAGCGTAGAATTATTTGGCTTTTTTATCCAAAGCTGAGTATAACATTCAAAAAGAACCACTACAACTCACATCAAAATAATTGTTATATACTATAGGCTTTGATCTTAAGCTGATTGAAGTCTCCCTTGAATATGTATTTACAGGTAATATTTCTTACAGGGAATTCAATAATATCCTAATGTCATCTCCAATTATTCAACATTAAGGTGACTCATTCTCTCTCTCTCTCTCTCTCCCTCACACACACACACACACACGCACACTGCAACTAGGCAATCCGCTAGCTTTCCCCAGCCTGGAACATTCCAGATGTCAAAAGTTGTGTAGAGAAAAATGTGGAGTCCAAATTAAATAAACAACAGATAAACCAGCAAAGCTGCTGCCATGCTGGCTAAGCTTGATGGCAGAAGAGAGCCAACCTCTTTGAAGGTACCTGTCCACATATCGGCCGCCTACCCAGTTGTAGCATGGCCCTCAAATGCTTTCCCCCAACAGCGTGTGTCGTGAGTTTGTGCTGGATAGTTGCATGCCATCTGGGTGAGAATACCCCCTTGTCCTCAGCATAAGGACTCAGCATGCCAGCATTCCCTGCCTTGTTCTGGGCACCTCCAATAAGACCGCATGGCCTTTCCTTAATGCATGAACCCATGAATGACCCAAATCATTTGCAGATAACGGCAGAGGTCTGAGAATAGCACAGCCCTGAGGCGATATCAACTCTGCTGTTCCTTCCTAGGATGACGAGCCTCCAACTAAAGGAAAGAAAAGGAAAAGGAAGAAGGAGGAAGATGTTAGCATCGATCTGGACGATCCGGAAGTCAGCCGTTTCCAGTATCCCTTCCACGAGCTCATGGTTTGGGCAGTGTTGATGAAGAGGCAAAAAATGGCCCTTTTTCTATGGCAGCGTGGAGAAGAAGCCATGGCCAAAGCCTTGGTGGCCTGTAAGCTCTACAAGGCCATGGCCCACGAGTCCTTGGAGAGCGAGCTGGTAGATGACATCTCCCAAGATCTGGACAACAACTCCAAGTGAGTCAGAGGGCACGAGGGATTGGTTCATGCACAACATAACGCCCGTTCTCAGAAGGAGCAAAGCAATCCACCTGCCTCCTTATGCCCCCTTTTGAAAAACTGTAGATTTGTGTTTGTTGGTTGGGTTGTGCGTGGTTTATGGAAATAAAAAAGGGGGTGATCAAGGAGGAAGAAAGTTGACCAAGACGCCCAGAAGATGCCTTTCTGAAGAGGTCACAGACATGTAACTATTCTTCCCGTTGCAACATATTCTTATCCTTTCTCTCGATGGAAATGTAGCTTACATGGAGTTATTATTATTTCTTTTATACAGTTATCACAGGTATTCTTTCTTTTACTGGTCTGATCTGTGTATCTTTGGTTAATTTCTGTGATGTCCTCCTGGGCATTTGTTAGTTTAATTTCCTTTTTAAGCTGTTAAAAGATTTTTGCAAACTCAAGGATGATTACTAAGAATAAGTGGAAATTACTATTTTCTTTCAAAGGGCAATATAATAAAAGGAAGATAAACAGGAACAATGGACAATAATGTTGGTATCCAATTTCTAATTAAACTAGTGATTTTAATACATAAATCATCCCATGAATATTCTATAAAAAGTTGTCCAGTGGTATCATAATTAAATATGTTACTTGATTTAGAAGCAACTCATACAGTTGTTTATCCTTAAATCACAGCTTGGTTTGCTATAAAAGTGTCATACAAAAACCACTTGTAGGTTATGCTGTTCCATAAATTAGCTTGGTTTTGTCTATCGAAGTGGTCCAGAAGCTGATCCATCCAGTTCCAGATGGAGCTTTTATCACGCAATCATTCCATTGAATTTTACAGCCTGCAGGTAGCGATAACAACATTTATTTATTATTTTATTTATTAAACCAATTTATATAGCTGTCCATCTCATCACAGATGACTCTAGGCAGCATACAACAAAGCTAAAAACAGTCAATAAATACATTAAAAATATATACATCTTCCTTAATGAACCCCAAGAAGACACACTGGGTTTCTCTACTGCTTCTTCTGTTAAAGAAGAAAAGACAGAATAGTTGTATAATATCTTTCAACTCACAGCATCAGGCCTCCTCTGTGGATGTTGTTGGACAAGATAGAGCTGAGTCATCCCCTTGATTGGTTCTTGTTATCTTCACTTCTTCAGGGATTTTGGCCAGCTGGCCGTGGAGCTGCTGGATCAGTCCTACAAGCACGATGAGCAGGTGGCCATGAAACTCTTGACCTATCAGCTGAAGAACTGGAGCAACTCTACCTGCCTGAAACTTGCTGTGGCGGCAAAACACAGGGATTTCATTGCACACACTTGCAGCCAGATGCTGTTGACTGACATGTGGATGGGAAGGCTGCACATGCGGAAAAACCCAGGTCTTCAGGTAGATGTAGACCATGACTTCCTCCAGAGAGATTTGCAAGAAATAAGCCAGCTGCCCAGTTCCCAGCAAGTCTGGGCAGTGTTGAAATCCTCCATTTTTGTTCCCTTGAGCTGGTGGGGATGATGGGAATCAAAAGATCAATGCAGCTGGAGAGGATCTGGTCAGGGAAAGTTAGCCTCCATGATCACCTGTGCATTTAATCATATTTAATTACTTCCCATCCTCCTTTTCCCACTCAGGTCATAATGGGGATCCTCTTACCTCCCACCATCCTCTTCCTGGAATTCCGCACCTATGATGACTATTCCTATCAAACATCCAAGGAGAAAGAAGTTGGCAAAGAAAAAGAGGAGGACAATGCGGTCAGTCTCACTCTTTCCCGGTGCAGAGCAAATTCAACAATCGTGGTTTCCCTGTTTCCCAAAGAAAGTGGGAGGACACTGAGAAATGCCCACTTCTCAATGACCAATGCAAGTCCCAAATCTCCTCCCAGTTGCATCGCACTCAGCAACTTCCCACAACCAATTTCTTTATACGGTTTCTCCATGGGATTGGCTTTCTGGGGCTATCCTTCACCACTTCTTACTTCATCCCAATATTCCTTTCTTTCTAGTGGCCCATCACAGACACCTTCATTTCTTCTGTCCACTATGGCTTCTGAACCAACAGGTTTTGCAACAGTCTCCAACCCTCAGCCTGGTTAACTAGAGGTGGAAATTCATCTGAGAAAGCAGAACAATTGTACCATAAAACAGAAAGGCTCTAGGGCCTGGTGGAAGCATGTCTGAGAAAAAGAAAGCCGCTTAGCAACAAGATCTGTTTTCCCTCTCTTTGTGCAGAATAGGGTGATACTTTGGGAGGATAAGTTGCCCGGTTGCCTGTGTCTTTCAGGATGCGAATGCTGATGTTGGCTCTCGAAAGGGAGATGAAGAGGATGGGAACAAAAAGCAGAGGGGTCTTCCCATTGGAACTAAGATCTGCGAATTCTATAATGCGCCAATTGTGAAGTTCTGGTTTTACACTGTAAGTAAAAATATAACCATGCTGGTCTGAAAACAACATGGCTAGCATCTCTCTTGCCAGAATAGCGTGTAGTTCAAGGGCCACATGGAAATTCTCACTGGGAGGTGAAGTTCACCACCTTTTTTTGAAAGTGGTCCTGATCTACTTCATCAGCTTTCTAGATGGGGCACAAAAGGCTGGACCTCGTGTTCCTTGAACAGCTTCTGATGTTTTGATAACTCTTTGGCCTCAATTTGAAGCATCGGATGTTTAATGGACTCCTTGGGCTATAACTTGGAGAAGAAAACATCCTAGCACAGGCGACAGGCTCTTTTTCCCCCCAATGTTGAGAACAGAATTAATCGTAATGTATTCTTTGATTTTGTTTTCATCCCCTTTCAAAGTTTTGGAACCACACTGCCATCCTTGTTCTCCAGAAGGCAGAACCAGATTTCTTAAGGGGAAATAACAGAGGAAAAGATTTCAGCTAACATTAGCAAAACTTCCCAATAGTAAAAAATCACTGGACAACAGAATAAGCTGCCTCAGGGGGTGGTGGGCTCTCGTGTGCTGGAGCAGAGACTTGCTTTCAGCACGTGATTACATTAGATGTCCTCTGGGGTCTCTTCTGAGTCTAAAATCCTGTGATTCGGAGAGGAAGTGTTATCACTGCCCTCAGACAGATCTGCCAAGACATGAGTTGCATGATCTCGCCCTTCAGATATCCTACCTGGGCTACTTAATGTTGTTCAATTACATCATCTTGGTTCGGATGGAACGCTGGCCCTCGGTCCAAGAATGGGTGGTCATCTCGTACATCGTGACTCTGGCTTTAGAGAAAGTCAGGGAGGTGAGTAAAGTTAGTGCTATGATTGTTCCTCTAAAATCTTTAGCCTGGACTGGTGTCTGAAGAAAGGAGAAGCTTCCTACATGAGAAAAGATCTGCATGGTTTGCATCTTTCTATCATGAACCGAGATATCAGAACAATTAGGGTCTCAAGTTCAGGACAAACTTTGGAGCAAGGAGGAAACCCTGAGGTTCTGACTGACTTTGAGATCATTCCACCTCTGAGACTTGCTCCTAGGTTAACACATGCGGAAGCGTGTAACAGAAATCCGGCTCCTGTTCCTCTCTCTCTCTCCCCCTCCAATTTTATTCTCTCTGTTCTCCACCTACCCACCTGAATTGCTTTGTTTTCAGATTTTGATGTCAGAACCGGGGAAGCTAAGTCAGAAAATCAAAGTGTGGCTGCAGGAATATTGGAACATCACCGATTTGGTGGCCATTTCTGTGTTCCTGATTGGAGCTATTCTTCGCTTGCAAAACCAACCTTACATGGGTTACGGAAGAGTGATCTATTGTGTGGATATCATTTTCTGGTACATCCGTGTCCTGGACATCTTTGGTGTGAACAAATACTTGGGACCCTACGTCATGATGATTGGAAAGATGGTAGGTAAATGCAGGTGGATACTTGCAGCAGAAGACAGTGGCAGGAGGAAAGAATAGGCTGTGGGTTGCCTAAAAGCAGGAAGAACCAAGAAACCTGTTGAGGGACCTAGGAACCACCTATGGGGGTGTCTCTAGAATCATCTGGTTAGGGAAAATTGGGGAAAGATGCTCATCTCTCCCACAAGACAGGAGAGCAGTCACTGCCTATGAAGGTCCTGTGGTGAACAGTTTGGCGGGGTTATTTTATCATGAAGCCCTTGTAACAGAACATCCAAAACTGGTGTTCCCACTCCCCTGGAGACCTTGTCAAGTCCACTTCTCCCTAGATGCTCTTGGAGGTTTCCTTGAGACCAAAGGTTGAGGGTGTAAATGCTTCCTGTACTGAGACTATGCTCCTTCTGACTCCCACTAACACTTTAGCCCAGAGTCTTAACACAACTTCTTCTTTTGGACAGATGATTGACATGCTGTATTTTGTGGTCATTATGCTGGTGGTCCTGATGAGTTTTGGGGTGGCCCGCCAAGCCATCCTCCATCCCGACGAGGAACCCTCTTGGAGACTGGCCCGTAATATCTTCTACATGCCTTACTGGATGATCTACGGAGAGGTCTTTGCAGATCAGATAGACCGTAAGAGCAGAATTCATAGTAAGATTCTGTTTCCTCTTTTCAGGCAGATGATCAGATCCAAAGGAATCCATATCCCTTTTTGAATTTGGAACCTCTTCCTCCTTTGATGGCAGCCTTACCTTTGTTATTTCTCCCAACTGAACCATCATCTTGGGGAAATCCCTTGCGTTTTGTGACGTTGAAAGGCAAGGAAGTGTTCCTTCCAGTAACACGGCATCCATCCACTTTTTCTCCAGCGTATTCAGTATTTTGTTGTCTTCTAGCCATTGTAAGGTTCGAACCCTGAGAGATATAAACGTGCAACCAAAGGCCTATTTTGAGGAGGGGGAATTTTGGGACTTCCTACAACATTTCTTGTTGCTTCTTTTCTGGATTTGGAAGTAACCTTGGCGACTTTTTATAGCAGTTGCTTAGAAGTCTCTAATTGGCATTTGGAGAACAATGGCAGGACTAAATATACTGTACTGGTCTTCTCGTAGAGATCCCCATTTTGTAAACCACAATTCAGCTTCCTGAGAATGTCAATAATTAAAATAAATAAACAGCAGCTTTCCGGCCCCTGTGGCTTTACAGCGTGTAAGTGATGGCTGCTTAGAGCTTCCATTGGCTGCAAAATTTTGCTTCCCTCCAGACAATGACCCTCACAATCAAATCAAATCAAATCAAATCAAATCAAATCAAATCTTTATTACGGTCAAAGATCCTCCCAATTGCTGATTGGGAAGAGTTCAGTCTGCACACTCGCAACTCTGTCTGCAGATTACAGTCTTCCCAGGATGGCCCTGCAGTCCATGGTGTGTGATTCCACGGTGATGTTTTTGTGCTTGTGTTGAGAGTGACCCCACACGTTCCTTTACATCACTGAAATAGCTAGCATATTTGCATGATCATCTGCCAGCTCCCCGGTATAATGTTTTAGAAAGACAAAGAGAAAAGGAAATTCAGAGCGTTCTGGAGTCATGACACAGCTATTGTTTTGGACTCTCTATCTCGCCTGTTAAAATATCAGACAGCCTTATCTTTTTCTGGCAGCTGAAGAGTTTTATAATACCAGTCATGTGCTTTCCTTTCCCATTATTCTTTTTCTTTTCCTTTCTTCCTTTCTCCTCTCTTTAATTCTGCTTGTTTTGTTTTCTTCTTCGCTTTCCAAATGCTGGGGTAGTCTATGCCATGGAGATTAATCGTAAGTTGATGAATGAATCAAAAGCTTTTTCTGGGCAGGTGATTCCCTCCTTTGCTTAACTGCGAGCTTTGGGGTTGGGTTCAGCTCAGCTGTGTAACACGAGACCCCCCAAAGCCACCTCCAACACGCTTCTTAAACTCGCCTGCCTGCCAAAAACCCACAGTTTGCACGGCTTGGTGGGCACGTTGAGTGAGAGATGATGAGCAACCAGTGAGAATTTAGCTTGGTCTGTCTGAGCAGCGATTATACTGAACGCTACTCTTGCATTCAGGTTGGCGACTGTAGCTTCTCCATCTGTTGTAGCTTCTGCTCTCTTCTGCTGGAGAGGGGAGCAGGGGACTCGGTGTTTCACCACCGCCATAGATCCAAAGTCTTTTCAGTCATTTGAGGAGATGCTTCCTAGCATCTTATCGCTGCCCCCGGCCCCTAAAATCCACCGGCTTTTCTCTCACTGAAGAGACGCGGCTGGAACCCAGATTATGAAATCCACATCCAGGAAGCCTCCAAGATTTGTTAGAGACATTTCCCCACAACCGTAGTTAAGAAAAAGATACTTGAAGGTCACTTCAACAGGTGCCCGAAGCCTCCATAATAATGTTTCAGAAGAGTGTCCGTGCCACAGGCGTGAAGGCTAATCCAATGTCATTCTCAGCTCCTTGTGGGGAGAACCTTTATGACGAGGATGGGAAACGGCTCCCCCCTTGTATTCCTGGTGCTTGGCTGACTCCTGCAATCATGGCTTGTTACCTGCTGGTTGCCAACATTCTCCTGGTCAACCTGCTGATTGCTGTCTTTAAGTGAGTATTTTCGCTTCCTCCCATTGTCTTCCGCTCAAAAGATACCTACCATCAGACTTTATTTTTATCCGTCTTTATTTTTATTTATTTATATTCCAAATTTGTCACCGCCCGTCTCGCTACAGAGTGACTCTGGGCGGGTTACAATAAAAACAGAATAAACATTAATTAAAATAAATATTAATTAATTAATTAAAATATGCTAAAACACAAGCAAAAAAGTATTACTTTTGACAGAAACGGGATTCATGCACAAGCTGATAGACAGACAGGGAGGGAGCAGATCTAGGAGCATGCACAGAAGAAACTGCACAGCAACCATAAATCCGTGGCCACTAATGCCACGGATTTTGTATACCCATAGGAAAACAAGCAAGTGCTAACTATTGCCAGATTGCATAAGTCATTCTCTGTTCTTTCAGCACAACGGTGGTGGGTAGAGATTCATTTGTTGGATTTATCTCCCACTAACCTTCTGTCTCATCCACTTTTTGTCTTCACGCAGAAAACAAGGGCTGAGACAGAAAAGGCAATATTTACAGCTCACATTTTTATCTTTCTCTGCCTGGCCCCAAAAGCAAAGATCTAGACCCACATGACTGTGCCCACTTTGGGTGCTGTGCTTTGAAATCAACAACAAACCATCTTTTATTTTTTTGCCTGCAGCTGAGTGTCCAGTAACTGAAAAGGGCATGTGTTTGAAAAGGAATTGTTTGCCAGTTGCACAGCTCATTCTTACAGGCATCAGGAGGAGAGAGAGAAGCATTATTTTGTAAATATCAACACAATGATGCTTATGTGCAGGGTTGGTAAATAAAATCAGCAGTCTAGGAATTGGGTCATGGGCTTAACACATTTGTACTTGTGCAAATCACCCTGGAACGAAAGGGAATAAGACAGAAACCTGAAGACATTTGTCAACAAGCCCATGATACAGTAAGATGATGCAGTTATTCATTGCTGAACTATCGTCCAAAGGGGAGGATCTCATGTATTCCTATGCTATCATGGGTTTCCCATTGGAGTTCTGTGAGTAGGACTCTTAGGATGGGCTTAGTCTGGGAGTTGAACCTGGAGAAAACCTGTGACATTCCAAAGATGTGTTCCTTTGGGACACGAGATGCCCCCCAAAGGCTAGGAGATAGCCAGAGAACATGATTCAACCTTTATCTTTACACTGCCTAGCTAAAGGACTAGAAGCAAGCTAGTTCAAGGGGAAAGAATGGAAATATATATATATATATATAAAATAAACAAATTAATTAATTAATTTAAAAAACAGCCTGGGCTTCTGTAACTTCTGATTGCTTAGAGAAGTGGAATGAGTGGTGCTTTCTCCTAAGCTCTAAGAAAATATTTGTTTCCTTAGGCGAGAGAATTTTAGAGGCACTAAAACTTGCATATTGTACACATGGAACACAAGAACATTCTAGGCAAACAGCAGGCTTGCCAACAATACAGTATGTATCTTCCAAATTCCAGCTTACAGTTGCATCAGAGCAAGAAAGGAGAAGGTGGAAAAAGCAAATGAGCCCAAAACAAGGCCAGGATTCTTACTTATTTATTTATTTATTTATTAAATTTGTATGCCGCCCATCTCCCCCGTGCCAATCTCTGGGATACAGTCTATGAAAGCTGCTAACTCAGTTGCAGTTCCCCTGAAGGTTAATGAAGTAAGTGCTTTGAATTTGGAGAGAGCAAAAGATTTGCAAACCCCACTGTTCAGGCCAAGCTGATCCACTGGATCTGGATCTAGAGAGCACTCTTCTTGAACCTAGTGAGCTCCAGAGATATTGGACCTTAATTCCCATAATTGCCCCATTAATCAGGTTGGCTGGAACTCTGTGAAGCCTGCAGTGCCCAACATTAGGGGGCATCAGACTGGGGAAAGCCGGACCAACCTTTGAATCTCTAGATGGACCCTAGCTTCATAGTAGAGAGATCTGCAGCGATGTGTGTGAATGGTGGCATTGTGTCTCTTGCAGCAACACTTTCTTTGAAGTGAAATCCATCTCCAACCAAGTCTGGAAATTCCAGCGGTATCAGCTGATCATGACATTCCACGACAGGCCTGTTCTCCCACCACCCATGATCATCTTCAGCCACCTTTACATCATTATTGTCCGCCTTTGCTGCCGCTGGAAGAAGCCAAAAGAAGGGGATCAAGATGAGCAGGATCGCGGGCTGAGTATGGGGAGAATATTCTTATCTGGTAGACACCTAAGCTCCAATCATTGGGGCTCTGTTTCCTGCCTGGGAAGACATCTTTCCCCAAAATAGAAAACCAGCAGTTTAGGGAAGAAGGTGGACTACAACCTTTCCCATGATCTGTTGCAGGGATTTTTTTCTTGACCCATAAACGGCAACCCTTCCCCACAGAAGACCTAGAATCATAGACCTGCAGAGCTGAAAGAGACCATTCATGTAGCCCTCTGCAATTCTCAGGAAAGTCAGTTAAACCACCTGCGATCTCTAGGTTCTCCATTTTTGGACATTTTTAAGACAAAGCGGGGTGCTACATCTCATGGAAGGTTTCATTGTTTTTTCTGCACCTTGCAGAGGGTTGGATCTAGGCTCCCTCCAGGCATTGGGTGGGATTGTTTATGAGTAAATGTGGTCAAGACTGGACTGCTAATATTCCAAGATGCTTTCCAGTAATTATTTTGACAGCACAACTGTTGTACCATTGTTCTCACACTAAAATGGCAAGCTGGATTTATGTCAGTGGCATTTGATAATATTCTCCACCATCACCTCCCCAAAAACTTTAAATCAGTAACTTTAGCAAACCAGTTTTTAGTCACTACTTTCTGCTCCCTTGCCATATTTCAGCCTTATGGCAACAGACCAGAATTGAACAAAATAATTGTCAAAACAAAGGCAAAAATCTGCCTTTCCATCTGTTCTTTTAAATAATATGAAAATGCAGTGCACAGTAGTTGCTTCTTCAAAACCATGGCTCTTGCTAGGCAGTTCTTCCCCCAAAATAAAGCAACGTAACTTGATAACTCTTCTCATTCCATCCATTTCAGAGCTGTTTCTAAATGATGAAGAGTTGAAGAAACTTTACGAATTTGAGGAGCAATGTGTGGAGGAATATTTCCGGGAAAAAGAGGATGAAGAGCAGTCGTCAAATGATGAACGTATCCGAGTTACTTCTGAAAGGTATTGGAGGGAATTTCTCCTTTTCCCAAGAAGCAAAAGAAAACACTGGCTGGAAGCATTTTGGTACTTTTCACCTGAAAATGCCATTTCTATGCCCATGTTAACATACAGTGGTTGAAAGTTAAAATTCTGGAGCTCACCCAAGTCAACACCCAACTGGGAGAATCACCTTCCAGCATTAAATCTCTCTTCTGAGTCTTCCCGTTAAAATTGGAAATAGGAATAATTTTTCCTATGAATAGTTCTCATCCACTGAATATCGTGGGAACTGTTGCTTTCCACAAATCCAAGATTTTTCTTTAAAGTCATCCAGCTAAGACTGATTCGAGAAGAACATGTTTCCTTATGTTTTAATGCCCTCATATTTGATTATACTTCCATCCCTTCTTTCAACCCAGCTTCCTTATTTGGAACCTGTGATTGGACAGTGCGCTTTTGACAACTCAAGGGGCCTGACCCCACGGCAGTTAAATGATAGCCATCGCTTTCAGCTAAAAGGGTAAACTGTTATAAGGAAGCTAAATTGCAACTGTTGAAAAGGTTGAATCGTCCAACAGAACACCTGGCCCCACTAAAGTACTTTAACTCTCACTTCTTGACTTCCTACTTTCTTGTTTTTCCTTCATGATGTTGCCCCTTAGGTATGAACAAACAAATAATGTTCTCAGAATCCATCAGTTAAACCAATTAAAACCCTGATAAGAACTAAAGGAATCTTTGCCTCACTTCTGTGGTTCCAGACTGGTCCTTCCCGTGTGCAAGAGGCCATCGGGCTATTTTGCTTAACCATCTATTTGTTTCTACTCCATAGAGTTGAAAATATGTCTATGAGATTAGAAGAAGTGAACGAAAGGGAGCATTTCATGAAAGCTTCTCTTCAGACAGTGGATCTTCGGCTTTCTCAGCTGGAAGACATCTCTGGCCGAATGGCAAATGCTTTGGAGAAACTGGCGGGCATTGACAAAACAGAGCTGACTCACACACGTTCCCGGGCGTCCTCTGAATGCGATGCTGCTTACCTCCTGAGACAGAGCAGCGTCAATAGTTCTGACGGTTACAGCATCTATCGCTACCAGACTGATGAGCTGGTCTATGATACGTTGCCCACTCCGTTGTCTCCAGCACTGACCTTACGTAAAGCAGATTCCAAGATACAGCTGGTCCCAGATCGCCAAGGAAGCCTCCGCTCTGTCTTTTGCCCAAATGCGGCAACCTCTGTGGAAACCAGTAAAAACACCTTAGAGGTCATTCAGACTGTCCCTAGGTCATATTCCAGTTCAGTAGACCCACAAGACCACTGTCCAAACAATGAGTCCATATCTCAAACCCTTAGACAAACAGATAGTATTGTGAACAGTCAGTCTAGAACCCAACCAGATCTGCGGAATGCCCAGTTGCCTCTAGAGAGGACCAAGTTGGAAGCCACCATCTCTTACCCCTTGGACAAGCCTAGAGCAAGGAGGTACTACCCAACTGAAACAGGCCATGCTTGTCAAGCAGCCATAATGAAGTCAAAGAGTTTTATTTTTGCAAAAGGTGGAAAGTTGGTTGGCGGGATTAACAACTGGACAGTGATGGACAAAGAATGTAGGACTGTCATGAACCAAGTGTGCCCTTCTGTAATTCAGCAATGGACTGCTGAGTGGAAGTATGAACTTCAGCAAAAAGCGGCTGATGAGCTCCCGCCTGAATATCCAGGTATTGTGCCTAAGCCAGAGAAGCAAAAACATTTGCTGGCCAACCCTGAGGAGAATAGTGAGACTGGCAAAGTTGAGGGTCTAAGTCTCTCCCCTGTGACCTCACCTTTCACCCTAAGGAGGCCAACTTGCAACCAGCTCTTGGTGAAGTCAGGAAGAACTTGTGGATTTTCACCTGGGCGGTCAAAGAGTTTACACAGCCATTCTCAGAAAACCAAGTCCATTAAGGAGAAGCTAAATCGGCCAGGACACGCCAGCAGTATCAGCAGCCTGATGGTACCTTCTGGATCTGCAATGGAGGAGCGGAAAAGAAATCAAGAAAAAGCCTCCACAGAAACTGAATGCTAAACATGACCTTTTCCATCAGTGAGCCGCAGGAGATGAGGTTGGACTTGCTTTGCTAAGCCTTGATAAGAAAAGACTGATACTACTTCTCAAGGACCTTGAAAGGATGCCACATGCAAGAAGACCAAACCTGTTCTGTCTCATTTCCTTGGGCAACGTACTTACAATAATGGATGGGGGGGCAGATTCCAACTGAACCTTAGGAAAACCTCCTAACATTGAGAGAGCCAGTGACCAAGAGGAAAGGAGAAGCCACTTCACTGGATGTGCTCCAACAGAGGCTAGTTAGCGGATCTGTTGGAGAGGGTTTCATTTGGATCCCTGAACTGAGCAGTGGATGCAACGTGATGATCTCCGTGGCCTCTTCCAGCTCAAGGACTTTATAATGCATAAACATGGCAGGCACAAAGAAAGACAGGCAGACATGATGGAATCCCTGTATCTCTTTTTCAGAGATATTCAAGCTCTGTTTCTTCTCTAAAGCACTCCCTGGTTCAGATGGATACCCACAGGAGGGCATGAGCAATGTCATGCTGCAGCCTAAGCTTCTTGTCCCTCATGCTGCTCCCAGCTATTTCTTAACCCTGCAGAAACTCCTGCCTGGATTGCAGTGGGCTGGCCATGGGGCCAGGCTGGACTATGGCCACCTGACTGGTTGTTCCTCTGTTTCTTGGTCTTCCCATCCATTCCCTCCTCACTAGACTCTGTGCCTTTCCTTTCCTTTCCCAAATGTTTGCACCCAAATGGGTGCCTTCAACACCTACCACCACTAGCCCTTCGATACCAATGCAGAACATTTTCTGTTTTCTTTTTCCTCCTTCTGGCACCACTGTTGCACGGATGCTACAATAATCAAAGCAACAGGGAATGGACTGTTCTTTTGTTCCCTTGTAGACCCATGGAATCTTTGCCGTAAGGAGCAACTGATAGTTCAGCTTCATATAAACCAGATCCTACGTTGCAGCTTCAAGATGTTTAAAAAATAAAGGAAAAGGAAGGGAAACTTTGCAGTACAGTAGACAGGGGGTGGGAAGGCAAACAGAGCATGTTCTCACCCAGCCTGGGCAGAAACCCAAAGGGTGCCATTGGGATATGTAACAGCTGAATGGAGCTTGAGTTTCCAGGGTTGAGGATAGTTCATTGGCTTCATGTCCATCCTTGGATCCACCACGAGATTATTCAAAAAAGGAGCCACTGCGGACCAGCAGAGACGCCCAGCCAAAATGGCAGGCGCAGCTGATGGAGGGGAGCGGGCAGTTCATGGAGGAGAGTTGAGGGGGCATGCCAGGTACTTACTGAATCAGAGCTGGGTTGCTACTGGAATAGAAAGAAGCTCTGGAGACCATCAGCTCTGAAGAGCTGGGGTTGGAAAATAGGGTTGAACTGATGGTGGAAAACACAAGCGGGGGTGAATTTGGACTGGGCTGGGGATGGGAAGAGGATGATGTCATCCATTCCTGCACTCAGGAAGCAGTGGGGGGCCCATACTGGTGCAGGAGGAAGCAAAAAGGGCAGATCTGCCCTAGCAACTTAATTCACATAAGTGCTAGATCATAGGCCTGCTGTGCCTAGAAAAAAGCTGCAGCCATGGATTGGAGCAGTGTTTCTCAATCTTGGCAACTTTAAGATGTGTGGACTTCAACGCCCAGAAGTTGCCAAGATTGAGAAACACTGGATTGGGGGGTTGATGGGTTCACTGCATTTTAGGTACCTTCTCTGAACTTCCCATGTCCCACCCAGTGCATTCTAGCCATTCCGCCTATCTGCTGGGGAGGGGGTTAGAGGGATGGGTTTCTGTTGCGTTGCTGGTGCAATGAAAACATCAGCTCTTTGCTGTGCAAAGATTAAGCCTGTGGCATTATTCGCAACTCATGGGAGCATTTCTTTAATTTTGCAGAATGGCAACCGCTGCTGCAGTAGTGATTTCCCCTTCTCCTTTCTGCAAGAATGCTTCTCCCCGCACCCCTCCCCAAAAGTTCTTTAAAGAGCAAGCAAATGGTTTATTTAAGTAAGAGAGGATTGGGGCTTACTGGAATGCAGAAGTTAATTTTTCACAGAGAATTGGCCAAAGGTTTAGAGTCACCTTCTGGGAATGTCCATTTGTGAAAGGAATTCCCCAATGGTTTTCCTTAGAAGCTCATAAGCAGTAAAGAGGTCTTAGAACAGTGTTTGGCAATTTTAAGATGTGTGGACCTCAACTCTCGGAATTCTGGGAGTTGAAGTCCACACCTCTTCAAGTGGCCAAGGTTGAGACACACTGTTTTAGAAGAAAACGACACATTGGTTTGAAGGTCATGAAGAGATATAAACGTGCAGAAATAGAGTGACCATGATAGCTAATCTTTCACATATTTCCTGTGCATTCAGAAACATAACATCTGGATCTTGAGAAGATGCTGATGTGAAGTCCACTGTACTGGTTTTCTTCTTTTTCACTTCTCCTCTTAATACATTGGAAACCTTTTAGACAGGGAATCAGAAGCTGGTGAACCCTTCTTCCTGAATCCTTCTCTCTTTTGTTCTTCAGAAAACCACAAAAAGGAGAAGGGGAACCAAGGTATCTTTTGGACACTGTAGGGCAGTGTTTCTCAACCTTGGCCACTTGAAGAGGTGTGGACATCAACTTCCAGAATTCCCCAGCCAGCAAGGCTGCCTGGGGAATTCTGGGAGTTGAAGTCCACACCTCTTCAAGTGGCCAGTAGTGAGAAACCCTGATGTAGGAGGACAGCCTTGTTGGTCTTTGGTAGCAAAAGTAAGGAGGAGTTGGTAGCCTCTTTTCCATCTCACAAATTTTATCCAAAGGCAGAAGCTTTTAGTAGCCATTCCATGCGTCTGGTGAAGCGAGCTCTAGCTCACAAAAGCTTCTGCCTTTGAATAAAACTTCTCAGAAAAGCTGCTACCAGATTCCTCCTGATTTTTGGGATATTTTAGAAGGTAGTCTACAGAGAACCCAACAGCTTTCTTTACATGGACAATATAAACCCACAGAGAGCACAACTCAACTGTCAGATATATTTTAAGGCTTGTTTGAGGACTTCCTTTTAGTTTCAAGAGCTGAGTAGAGTGACCATCTGCAACTTGATAGCACGGCCGTTCTGGAGTTCCTTCTGTTCAACAGGTTTCTATGGTGGGTCATTCGGTTTCGTCTTGCATGGTTGCCTACACCCCATCGATAAAAAACCAAAACACCCAACAATCCAACTTCCTCAGCAAAATGTGGATTGATAGTCTTTTCCTCAGAGCCAGCTACATAAGAGGATATTCTTCTACCACATTCTCAGGAAGAAAAGAATAAAGGGATGAGACAAATGAAAGAGTCTAATTCCATGCTGGCTGGGGGATTCTGGGAGTTGAAGTCCATCCATCTTAAAGTTGCCAAGGTTGAGAAACACTGTACTAGGATGATAGTTTCAATGGTCCCCATCCTTTGTTTTTGCTTGCAGTTTTCTCAGGCCCTTTCCTCTAGGTTCCCCTGTCCATTCTGTAGCAATCATAGCCGTGGTTCTCCCTAGATAGACCATCACGACGGCTACAGTCTTCGTCGAGAAAGTTTCTCCTCCTAAGGCAAATGTTTTGAAATCTAACATTGTTGATATTTTTCGATTGCTGTGGCTTTAAAGCTGCCAAGCAAACCTCTCCGGAGAAAATCCAGGAGGAGTTTGCCTGTGTGGGATGAAGGCCGCCAAACCCAAGGAGAACATTTTCCAACCATCTCCAGCCGAGCCTTCACAGAGCAGGGCATCTTGTTGCTTTAACCCAGAGGTTAATTGCAACTTTGGAATTTAGAGGTCATGTTGGTTCATTGGAAAAGCTGCCAGACTTGGGGAACATCGGAGATGCAGGACCCCGCGTGACGTTTGACCCACGGGAGTTCAAGAGGATGCCGGATTTTTGAGTTCTGGATGCAGAAACTCTTGAGTTCTGGGTGCAGGCACATGTTTTTATTTATTTAGAGCTCCCTCTTTGATTTTATTTGGGGGTGCCAGACTTGGACTGCACAATCCAGATGACCGCTAGTGGGCAGCATGGGCACACCCACCCAAATGCCTTTGCTACCACCTGCTGGACACCCTGGTGCCCACAGTCCAGGTCTGGCAGCCCTCCTTTCTTTGCAACTTAACTTTTAACCCCAGCTTTTCCACCTAAAACGGTGTTTCTCAAACTTGGCAACTTTGAGACGTGTGGACTTCAACTCCCAGAATTCCCCAGTCAGCTCCAGCTCCAGG